ACCTAATTTAACTAGGATTCCTTAGTTAAATCCACAGCTAAAAGCAACTTACCTCACCTCACTCTAAAAGCAAAATTCACTTCTCAGTGGTTACTTTATGTTTACCTGTCACTACCAAAGATAATATGAAAATTTTCATCTTCTTAGTTTGTGGGTTAGGATGGGTCACCATGCACATCCCACTACTWAATTTCTCAGGTATTTTCATGTACCCTAGGGTCCACTCTTTAACAAGAAGCATGTTAACAGAAAAAAAATGGGTCTCACTGCCTCCCAGGGACCGCTTTGTTCACACCCCTTTTCCACTGTGACCATCAAAGTTAGGGGTATATGGACCTCAACTGCCAWTAACTTTGCTATAAACCAACCAAATTTTACAAACAAGGTATCGGATGATTCATACTGATTAGCTCTTCACTTTAAATTATTTTTCATTAAACAAAAGTTTGCTTGATGATGTCATTGGGGGGGCAAAATGTCACTACCCCAACAAAATATGAAAATTTTCATCTTTTTTAGTCTGTAGATTAGGGTGGGTCTCCATGCACACCCCATGACTGAACGTCTCTGGTATTTTCATGTCCCCTTGGGTCCACTCTTTCAAAAAAAGCATGTTAACAGTAAAAAGTTGGGTCTTACTGCCCCCCACGGACCACTTTGTGACCACACCCCTTTTCCATTCTGACCATCAAAGTTAGGGGTATAAGGAACTTAACTGCCAATAACTTTGTTATAAACCAACTTCATTTTAAATACAGGGTATCAGCAGATTTGTATTGATTAGATCTTCAATTTAAAAGACTTTTCATTAAACAAATGTGCAAACAATGATGTCATCAGAGGGTCAAAATGTCACAACCCCAACAGAAGATGAAAATTTTCATATTCTTTCTGAGTTTACCACACAGATCCTAAATGTTCAACTTARTTAGRCTTTTCATGCACCTAAGGATCCACTTATTCAGAAAAAAGTCTGTTAACAAAATAAAAGTTGTAGGTACTACTCCAKAGGGACCCGTTTTTGACGTCACCCCTACTTATTGTGTGCACAGCTCAGAATTTCCAGGATGTCAAACTMACATGAAGATTTACCATGTCAGAATAAAATGTCWTAAATCTGGTGTTAAATGATAGATAATGACATGGAATCTCATTTAGATGTGCTTTTGTTGWTTATTTATGCAACAGACCATGTTACCAGCCAGGAGTTAAAAGTAACACATTAGACCATTGGTGAACATTCAGAAACAAGTGTTTCTTTAAACTGAAAGGCTTTCACAGAGTTATTCTTTGATTAGCTTGAACTTCAACCAATTCTAAAGAAGAATTAATGTAAAATTGGATAAATTAATGTATCAATTTAATGCAGCTTTATGTCTAATAGTGTACCATACAGAGCACAAGTAAACTTCACACACAGAAGAGTGCATCATCTATGTCTCATTTGTCTCCAAACCTACCAAAWGCTTCTTGGTAAGTCTCATTGTTCTGGAGGAGCTTCATGCCTTTCACTTTCCCTTTTCCCTTAAAGGCACTTGTACTGCCACATTCTGTGTAAGCATGTAGACCTGTCAGTGCAGAACACATTTTTGGTGAGAAAGATTGATTTAGCCCTGTGACATGCGTGCAGCAATTGGATTTTCCTTAGTTGTAGCCACATACCGTTACTGACATTTGTTCTGACCACCTTGTTCCATTAATTTTTTTAAAATTATCCGTATTTGATAGGAACAATTTCCAGTCATTTGGTTGCTTTAAGCATAAAAGCATGAAGATCTTTCAAAATAGTAAGTCTTACTAAGAGGCATTTGGTAAGTTTGGAGACAAATGGGAAGGAGATGATTCACTCTTCTGAGTGATAAGTTCAAGTCTTWTGTGTTACTTTTAARGCCTGGCTGGTAACATGGTCTGTTGCATAAATAATCAACAAAAGCACATCTTAATGAGAGACCACATCAATATCTATCATTTAACACCAGATTTATGACATTTTATTCTGCCATAGTGAATCTTCATGTAAATTTGAGATCCTGAAAATTCTGAACGGTGCACACAATAAGTAGGGGTGTGGTCAAAAACTGGTCCCTGTGGAGTAGTACCTACAACTTTAATCGTGATTCATTTTTTTTTTGCCAATATTGCCCAACCCTAGTGTTTACAGAGTTCAACGGTGATTTAAATCTTCTCCAGCTCTGCTCACTCCAGAGAAGAACACAAGTTTTTCTCCAGTTTATCAAATTCCATCAAAAACAATTTATTTACAGTGAAACAAAGTAAACATCTGAAAAGATTTAACTTTTTATTTTCAAATAATCTTGAAATTTAAAATAATTGTTGAAACTCATGTCCAACGTGCTGAAAAGGAGGGGTTTCATCCTGATGGTATGGAGGTACATTAGTACCTAAAGCATGGCCCAGGTCCTCTAAAACCTGCAGACCTGGTGGTTTCAGGTCCTCTAATAAAACCTGCAGYCCTGGTGGTCTCAGCTRCTCTAAAACCTGTGGTTTCAGAGGTCACYTTTAAACTATAATGTGAACATTTACGCCAAAAAAAAATCWGATTTTTAAAATAAAATCAGAGCTGAGCATTAASACCTGCAGTGTGAACATAGCCTTAGATTCTGGAGATGTGATGACAGCAGCTGTGCGTGTCTCAGGCCCACGTTTTTCACCGTGGCCAACTGTTCACTTTAAGTGTTTTTGTCCCCTAATAGGGAAAAAGATACTGTCAAACTGGTAACGTGACCTWAACTCTTTCATCCACAAWTTTCTCTTGAGCTGTTGATCTCATTTTCTCCTTTCATTCCACATTGTTTGTTTTTATTTTGAAGCAGTTATAAGGCACTGTGGCAAAATATAAAACTTCTACAGTACATTTTACACAACAGGTTGTTGTTAACTTACCAAAGAGAGAGAGAGTGCGTTAGTTGATGCACCACCCCTGCTTAGCTGGGCTGTGAAAGGTGGCTAAAGCCTTTCTTCTGCAACATCCCCCAGCATGCCATGCGGTTCTGGATCAGAGTTGGACAAATATTCCTTTGATATTGATCATGTGTGTATCACGATTTACAGTATATTATTAATTTATTGCCCGGCCTTAGGATAAACCAAATGTTTTTCTACTATTGAAT